TCGAAGATCTCTCCGGTCATAAGATTGCTTCTCCTACTCTGTCGGATCTCAACCTACCTCCACTCTCAGTCTGAGGGGCTAACAGCGAACGGTGAATTCGTGGGACATGGAGGGGGGATATGCCAGAAAGATAGGCTAATCTTAACACGCTAGTTATAGCATAGATAGATCCATAATAGCTTTGAAATGGCAAAACGCTGAGTTTTCCAGTACGAAAGACCTCGAAGAAACAGTAAAAAGGAATCGAACAGACAGAGTTGCCGTACGTATCGCAATATTGAGCATCCATGCCAGACAACGAACAAGGGCGCATCCCGAACGCCCGCAAGAAAGGCGCTTTTTACCCTACATAGTCATGTCTCAACCGCTCCCTGTAGCACAAACCAGTAAGCGCCAATAGTGCCCGGCATAGTAAATATACATCTTTGTGTCATTACCAGAGACTCACTCATCCCCGTTAATATCAACTACACTACTACCACCATCATAGTACCCCAATCCTAACTTTAACTTACTAGACCACGGGGTCCTTGAATTCAAATGGGTAGAACAGGGGCTTTTGGAAAGTATATATTCAGTGCTGATGATAGCAGGAAGATCTTATCAAGGGGTTGGTTGGTGGGATGATGGGATGCGATGTCCCTTTGTCTGGTCTGAAGGCTTGAAGGGAGAGGGTAGGAGAGTGAGTGGGGAGGGAGGGAAGGGAGGTGTTGGGGATACGTCAGACTTCGTGTAATATAAGTACTATTGTGTGGCAGTGTTTTGTTTGATTTGGGAGAAAGCTATAGGCAAACAGGTAGGTTCGAGGCTAACTTAGAAGTATTACAGATCTGGGATGGATCCGGACTGTAAATATAAGGTTGCCTTTATTATAGAATCCAGGACCACTACTGCGTAGGGGTGTTATATAGGGTGAGGTGGGTGAGACTAGGTCGATACTCTGATTACTACTAATGGTATAGTGTATAGGTTGGATCAAGGTACCCCAAACTGTATCTATGTGTGTGGGGCCGACGATCTATGTCTTAAGGCTGTACCGAGTAATGTAGTCGGTTATTCCTGGAAGTAGTAATACTAAAGACTCCTTTCACCGTAGAGTTCTATAGTAGACGCTTGATATACTTCCTACGAGACGCACGTTGACGTCGTGTGTTCGGACTACTGGTGCTGCGGAGGGATGTGACCAATAACAGTGCATCAAGGGGTAGCTGATGAAAAACCTCCTGGGTGGATCAAGAAATTCGTGCAGGTGTCAATCGCCCTGCACCTGCATGTGCTGTAATTCGCATAGGTAGTTAGTAGATTAGATTCCCCCGGGAACCGGTGGGAAAATTGTCCGATAGGGTGTGGTGTCCCTTGCGTGGATGGTGGATGCTGCGCAGAGGCTGGGGGAGAGTAGGGATGAACGGAAAGGTGGGTAGAGTTAGAGAAACAGGGCAATAGGTTTGAGCTGAGTTTCTCTCGTGCTGATGGTTTGCGCTTGTGGTGCTATTCTAGGGGATCTTCTGAGAGGGTTACTAATCGTGGTACTGAGATCGTCAACCCTTGTCTGGGTTCATTGGTTTGGTCTCAGGCTCTGGCTTTGTAGAGACAGGCTGGGGCTTTTTGATATATTTGTCTGGTTCTGGGCCCAGTGTAGGTGATGCCAAGTTAAAGAACGTAACAGTCGTTAGTCGTCCATGCTATGTCGGACGGAATGGGGGTGTTTGTGGCAAATTCATTGGGGCAGTCGTAGAATATACCCGTCCGGAGAAATCTTCAGCTGCGAGATAATGCGATGCAGCAGACCGTGGGCAATTTCTCCGAGTGCAACTCCAGGTTGCACTGCTGAAGCAAGGACAAACAAAGGAGGGTAGGAGGAAAGAAACGATGGGCAGCGTCAACGTGCAGTCATCTGACGCATAATATCCCGAGGCGGCTGGGGAGCTACTAGTAGTCGTAGGCACGATCTTTGAGACACGAGCCAAATAACAGTGCATAGCCACCTGGAGTCACGATCCTGTGTGAAGGAGATCAAAACCTTGCCCTGAGCAAGAATGTGGATTTGAAAAAGGGAAGATCCGTGAGTGTCCGGGAAAGAGGCAAGGAGGGCAGGAGGAGTGGGTGCCCCGATAAGCCGGAGCGATAGGAAGAGACCGAGGACGATTGACGATCTCTTGCTTTGCCAGCGAGACACAACTGGTTACTGGAGGGATGCTTGTCTTGTGTTCAAGACAACAACGGCCAGAATCATCAATCGTTGCGGTTCATCGGAAGCCCCGGCTAGTGGAGATTTGATAAATCCAATGAGTGCAATGACGGTGATGCTGATGACGGAGTCGGTCATTTGGAACTGAAGTCATCTAGACATTCGATGAGTCCAGCCGATTGGTCACCTGCGTTGCTCGCCACTGTTGATTGGTGAACGCGCTTCCGCCAGACGCGCTACTCACGCGACGCGACGCGCGACACGATGGCGTTTCAATTTTACCTGTCTGGGACGTGGCCCAAAAAAAAAGATGTTCATGTATTGATTTCTTTTCATTCGAGGAAAAAGCAGAACTTTTTAGGGCTTTAATCAATTCTACGGAGGGAAAAAGCACTTCATATGTAGACATCTCGTGGTGATAGGGAGTAACTGAGGGACTGAATCATTTCCCCCTAAGTATCCAGGTCATCGAGGGTTGCCATCCCAACCAAAAACTATATGGACGTATCCGCTGTAAGAGGGATAGGACTCATGATCGATCAGTATCAGCCCAGCATCAGCTATTATCTACCCCAAATATACCAAGCTGCATGGCGCATCATGGCTTCGTAGATAGGTATAGATCAACTTCATCCAGGCGTATACTCCGTAACACGCAATGCAAGCTGCAATGCAACAGCCTCCTGTCCCACTCCGGTCCGGCCCATCCCAGTCCAGACGGGTGATAGCTCCTCTCCTCTCCAGCTGGTGTCGATGCATTTGACATCAAGTGGACACGGCAATGGGGAAATGCCGCAATGGGTGACCCTGCGAGGAGACGCCTTGCAGTGCGCATCCCCTCCGAAGTGGCTCCTGCACTCCTTGTCTCACTCCACCCTCCGGAGGGGCATTAAGAGAGAGGAGATATAGAGGGATGAAGGCAGTGTTCGACCTTCAAAAATAGGCCTTTCCCCTGTTCTCAGGGCAGGAATGAGAGGAGGAAGAAAGCAGAGACATGAGAAACAAAGAATAAAAGAGAAAAGAGAAAAGAAACAAACCTGAGTCCAGGAGGCAACGAAAAGGCAGGCATGAGGGCGACCGACCAAAGTGTTACTGGTCATTCTTTGTACACGTTCGATGTCATCCATTCAGTTTGTGATATCACATTCAATTCCAGCTGAAGGCCGGTCAATCATTCCTATACCTGCCACCGCATTCAATTTCTTCTTACTTCTACCCTCCTCCTTCACCGTCCATCGACACAGAGTGGCTTTGTTTATTAGTGTGTGTTTGGGGAATTCTGCAGCCCGGATTTAGACTTTCCAAGAGCCATTGTTGCCGGTCATTGGGCCAGAAGCTGGGTCCCCCCCGTTTGCGGAACCGAACAAAAACGCCAGAAAAGCCCGCAGGCATCGGATCCCTCCTTTTTCGCCCATTTTCCCACCCATTTCCTTTCTCCGACATCATCCCATCATCATCTTCCTCTGATTTGCGCCGCTTGATATCCTCTCTTCGCCTCCCACTCTCCCCCAGTCCTCTTCGCTGTCATTCCCTCGTCGCATTTCCCCGGACTTACTCCAAATCAAAGCGCTTGCTGTTGGCATTTCATTCACACTCTTTCTGTCCCCCGATCTCTTGTTCTTCTCCTCCAAACCTCTTCCGGCGCAAACCTACATTCTTCGCGGGTTCCTCTTGATCCGCGCACAAACACTCCCGGCATCGACTGCCTCACCCCACCACCAACACCACCACCACTTCGCCAACTATCTAACTCATCTTCACTCCTTTGTCGTTTCATATGTCACTCATCCCTGGGGAATACCCATCTCCATCGCGCAAGATGTTACTCCCATCTGCGCTTCCTAGCGACATGCCGCAACAGTCGACCCAGTCGCATCTCGCGCCCAACCTACTATTCAACACTCCACCCCCTACCGAAGATGACCTCTTCCCATCAGGCAATGGCCTACTGGGAACTAGTCGCGCCCTCCAATCCCTTCTCAATATTTCTCCTGCTTCGATCCCCCGTCGCAAGACTCCTCCACGTCTCCTAAGTCCCCTCCAACTACGATCCCCTCCTCCCTCCCGGTCGCAGAAGCGTGTGGCCCAGAAAGACTTGAACAACCTCACGCGCTCCTCCCCATCACCCTGCTCTCCCTCCAAACTTACGCGTCGTGCGAACAAGCGCAACCGATCTGCCTATGAAATAGACCTCGACTCGGAAATTGAGGATCGCGAACCCTCCAAAAATGCCAAATCGCGCGACCGTTTCTCCACGCCCAAGCGTCGCAGACACATCCCCAATGATTTACCACTAGGTCTTACACAGGAAGACTTCTACTCGCTTTATTCACCCCCGATCACACAGTCGCCTCTGTCGCCGGCGCATCGACCGCAAGAAGATCTGAGCGCAAGTGAAATAAACCCTCTGGAAATCTCACTATACAACCCCGACGCGCCGCTGCCGTCCATCGAGACAAACGATGAAAGCATAAAGTTCGCGTCACATGAATTAACGCCAATCGATGCCTCGCCTTCCTGGGTCGCAGAGGACGATCGACGGCTAGTGAACTTGGTTCTTGAACGATATCAATTCTCCGAACAAGTCTTGGATGACTGCGCCAGAGAACTGGGCAGAAACCACGAGTCCATCAGACGCAGATGGCAAACTCTCCTGGGCCAAGGGGAGATAGGCTTGCGACGAGGAGCTAAACCAGACCCGTTGGGGACCTAAAATGGCCTCTTTTCGTTTATTTCTCCTTGTCTGAAACTTTCGTTCGTTTATTTTTGCTTACGATACCGATTCTACTCGCTTCTGAACTTGCGCCTTTTTAAACCGCCAATACCCTGATAGCATCGCTACGCTACCCCCTGTATTATGACTTTGACTATTCGGCTCTCTTGTTTTACTTTTTCTCACAACTTACGGGCTCATGTACGATACGGGATATGGATGGATTTGTTTTATTTCTTTTCTTCTTCTTTTCGTCTGGTGTTACTTTCGGGGATTTCAGATTGTGTTATTACTACCATTACCTTACCTTTATTTCACGGTGCTGTGTGGTTTTGTTTCTACATTTCCGGGGTTACTTACATTTATGTTTGTCCATCCATCGATCCACATACATCAGACCCTAATCGATGATGGGATATGGATGACTATACTTCGGGTTTCTTTTATTTACTCCTTTTTCATGTATCATATGACTGACTATCTATGACCGACACACACTGGTTGTGTATGTACTTTATTCTACTGTACTATCTATCTATCTATCTATTTATCTATCTATCTCTCAAACTACTAACTATCCCTGAATACAATCTATAAACAAATGGGTTCTTGCTCCGCATGTATGTCATCGTACCGCTTTTTCAAAACATGGGTGTTTTGAAACATTAAGACTCGCCCTCTATGGTAGATAGATATGTAATGAGAAATAGGAGACTTCGGCGCTTGAGTAGAATGGAAAAAAAGGCTTTGATGAGTGGTGGTCGAGCCTTACATTGTTGAACTATTCATTATTACTAAGTTGTTCACCATGACTAGGTAATAGGGTAAGCTGAGTGCTACTAAGCCGCTTCAGTGCGTGCGAATGTAACACTGCTGTCTAGGTTTAAGCAACGAGGGGATAAACGAATGACGATAAGTGAAGGAAAGAAACACCCATAGTACTAAAAAAAATCATGACTACTGCTATTATAAGTTTCAAGACGAAGCATGAAGTTGAGCAGATGTAAGCAAAGCAGTAAAGTACTCCGGCTAAGTTGCAAATAAAGAAACGAACTACCAATGCCATCTAAGTATGTCCATGACCAAAACCCAGTAATGCCATTATGCCCATGCATCAATCAGCCCCTATGTGCAAACAAGAGAACAGAACCTAGTAAGTATGAGTACAACAGTACACACCCAACATGAACATGAAAACATGCAATCGATTAGTCAACGCCAGACACCAAGCTCAAAGGTCGGGAAGTTGGAATGGAAGCTATTCAGATATAGACAGGGGAAATAGGACCATCGGCCACCCTGTCTGCACTATTATATCAAACTAGAATCTGTTTTTGTTCGCTTGGAGTTAGCACAGTAATCACCACCCCACATTTATCTGCGCAAGGGGTTCACATCAAACGTACCGAATTTCATAACTGCCCGCGCGAGTCATGTACCGCACCCACTTCACACTGCTGTAGTTGTTCTTCTCGAATACCTTCAGGTACCGCACCAATAATCCACTGCTGGTGAACATGAGAAGACTGAACGACAGACTGAGCGGTGGCCGACTCCAAGCCTTCTGGTGCGTCATGCTCGTCAACGTCGCTTCTGCTGTCAGGACGTATTCGCTTCCACCGGAAAACCGCGCGATCTTCCACACAATGTTATTATGTTCCGGCTCGTACTTGGCCCGACCCTGACTGGTCCGTTCGGTCGTCTTGGCCGTGTTTAGCGGTGTTGGAATGCGAATCACCACGTTCGTCGCGAAGAGTTTCGAGCTGTAGTTGGCTTTGATAGCAACGCTGTATTCCACCTTGGTGGTGCCGACTTCACGCACGATCGGATGAACCTTGAAGGGCAGGTTGACGTTTTCGGTAGCGCGGTAGCGCATGAGCTCAAATTCGCCATCGGGAGGCACAAAGGAAATAATACGATCAGCGTCGAAGCGGCCTAGCTTGACGCACTGGTGGAACTGGCAGTCTTCGAGTGTAACGGAGCCCGCGGCCGCGCGGGTAGCCTTCATGGTACCGTCGCGATTGCCGGGGGTTGAGGAGCCAGCAGCATCAGTATCGAGGAGCAAGCGGTCATTGAGGCCGAATTTGCACTCTGGAGTGCCGGAGAGGTAAGCTCGCATGACGATTTGGCCGTTGACATCGGCGCGAAGGACAGTGCCTGTGGCGGACATGAGGAGGTTGACGTCTTCGATCACGTCGACAAAGGCCTCGTTCTTGCGATATTTGACGTCGGAACGGCGCCAGGAGAGAGCGCCAGTGGCTTGCATGGTGATACGGCTGGAGTCGGTCGCAGAGTTGGCAATGGCGGATTTTACGCCTTCGGTGGTGATGTACATTTTCAGGGTGTCGGTCTCGGTGTTTTGAGGGTATCCGAAATCGAGGATTTCTATGAAAGAGAGAATTGCGGTTTAGTAATCTTTCAATCTGGTACTTTTCTCGAAAGCACAGGTCAAGCGCACCGTCGAGCAATTCGTAGATCAGGACAAAGTTGTTCTTCACGGCCTCCTCATCGAGCTTCCCAAAATAACTCTTTCCCAGCATGACCAATCGATATAGAAACTCGAAGACCAGCGCGGCATTGGCATTGCTCTTGGTCACGGCAACCAGGTAGATGTTTTCGTGTTTAACATGACTGAAGGTCGTGGAGCCTAGGGTTAGGATGGGCGAGCGGACTTGAGGGTTGGAGATGACTTGGATGCGGAAGATGTCGGCGAGGCGTGGGCGGCAGTCGCTGCGGAAAGCGCGGAAAATCAGGTTCTCGCCCTTTTGGTTGAAAATGAGGATACCGGAGAGCATGGTGAAGGGGCGCTGCGGAGGATGAGGGGCGGGAGGGGGGTTGAAGGAGAAGTAAGTAGAAGAAGAAAGGAAAGGGGGGAAACGGAGAGGAATGAGGGGGCCGCGGAGAGAGAAGGTGAAGTCGGTCTCGACCGGCGGAGGCGATGGATGCGGTTTGCCCGCCGACACGACTACTACTACTCGAATCACTACAGCTCTTTCCGATGCGCACGTCGAGTGGCCAGCCAGTATATAGTTTACTTTATCCAATTCTTCTGTGTATTTGGTGGAAACTTGGCGACCAATAATTCGATGTTCTAATGCGTAAATATAAGTCATGGCGACACAACACTCACATACGCAACTTATGGTTGCTCGAGCTGTCAAGGATGAGCATCGACAGCTTGAAACTAAAATGGTAGAACTCTCATCCATGAAATTGTTGTCTGCGCGTGTTGAGAGGGGCCCGTCATTCAGCTTCTGGTTATCTTGTTTCTCGGGTCTAAGTGAGGCGAGGCAGTAAGAGGTATATAAACCAAACACAGTAAGGATAGTTCTTTCGGCTTCTTCTGACGGCTGCGTCGAAGTAGGGCATATAATCTCCTTGGGAAGACTAACGAATCCCCGATGGTGCCATGGCTCAAATATCATGTTAAGGAGATGGTGTTCTATTATCGTATAGGCTACCGACTGCTATTATCATGTTTGATGCGTCTAAAGGACTATAGGCAACTGATGTAGAGTCGGAGGGTCGCTGTCAAAAACACCAAAAGAGGACGCTTAGTACACTGTGTGCGGCGGCGCCTACGAAATACTACGTTCATGTATGCGTAGAATCAAACTTGACTAAGGAGGGCGTTGACCTCGAGATCAACTGTGGCAATTTGAGATGGGTATTATGTATGCTCGCATTATTCCCGGTTACAGCTCTATGCTAAGCTTTTTGGGGGTCTTTGACGGTCGAGCATACTGTATGTATATATACACAGCTCATATAGGCACCTAAATACATAGACAGTAACACACTGATGGTTGAGAGGTTGTGCTATGCTCGTCTCATGTGCTGGCCGGATGTGCTGTCCACGAGTCGGCATGGAGCGACAGAATGCAACATGCCACTCCGTGCTTTCAGAATCGGCAAAACCTCGTAGCGCTGGTTCATATTGCGATAACAGGGACTGACGCCCACATGGCGGGTATCAAGGTTAGGGCATGGATATCATGACGGCGAGTCCAGTATCAAAAGAAATCACAAGAAAAAGAGAAAGAGAATTAAATCTCGGAGATCGGAGTTCGGATGCAGTCTCCCATCCCAGCGAGACATATTAAAAAGGCGTAGATGATTTAAAGGAAGTCATAGAGAATGTGAAACGGGACTCAAGACCGCAGATGGCGATTTGACGGAAATCATGCGGGGATTCCATCAGACACCGCTGCTCGGCCGGGTCCCTGGAAGTGATGGAACTCCCTCACTGCGGATGATGCCAACCTTGGGATCTGGAATCTGGATGTCTAGCGACATGTACGCCGTCCTGCGGAGACTCCAGATATGTACTCCGTCCTTGGCCCCAACCTCTCTATTCCACCTCTCCAGCCAAGCTTCCACCCGTTTGAGATGGCTCTTGATTCCTGGCGCGCCTATGTCTTCCCAAATCCATCCCGTCAGAAGGCTCAGCGCACTGTCGATGAAATTGCGAAGGCTAAACGGATCGAACGCCTTGACGAGCTCATCATTCACTGTGGCGATCACCTTTCGAAACTCTTGTTCAGGTAATAGCGGGTCCAGAATCTCGGGGTACAGGTTGGAGAACGTGGGAGCCAGGTCTCCCTTTATCATCCAATCACGCCGTATTCGTATGATGCGGGTGGTCATGTACTCCTCGGACCCGATCGGAACATGTGGGTTGATGTGAGGATAACACGGATGCGCAGGGCCCCAGGCCAACTCCTCCGCTACATCAGCCTCGCCGCCATTGTGAGCGCCGGTAATGGATGGTACAGATGCAATGTGTGACTGTGATCGCAGCGAGGATTGCGACTGGATGTGGCGGGGCCGGTCGTCGTGAAGCGGCCCAGGTCCGTCTACCGCCAAATCGAGGCCCAGATGCGCCCGTTCCGGAGCGCGAGGGTTCTTTACCTCCGGAGCACCATTTGACACTCCCGACTCGGACATTTCTCGTAACACCAGTTGGTCGTCAAATGCGCCACTGCGCCTCTGGCCGCGAGGCACTGCGATGCTGGAGCGTCCACTCTCCGTTTCCCCTTGGCTGCGCTCCACCACCAGACTGTTCGGAGATGGGATCGGTCGACTGCGACGCCGTTCGGGAATAGTCAGCAAAGGGTAGGCGTCTCGGTGTGCGTCGAGTGGAAGGTTCTCGTCGGAGAGCTGCGACAGATGGGGTACCGTGACCGGAGTGTTGCGGGGAACGTAATTGACAGGGTTTGCGAGTCGCACTGACGGCGGGCGCAAGATCGTGGGAGGTATCCAGGAACTCTTTCGCCGATAAGAGAATCTTGCTTTGGAGGAGCTCGCTGCGGTGACCTGATCGGAGGATGTGGGGGGATGTGCCTCGAAGGAATGACACCGAACGCGGAGGCCTCGCGGGGGATAAGGGGATGCTTCTTTAACCGGGGGCGATGATGTTGAAGGGTCCGTTTGTGAGGCGAGAGGGGACGTTTTCGATGAGGAAAACGACCGAGGGGGCCGCGAGGCGCGCTTAGATGGCGGAGAGGCCGTGGTGGATGAGGAGAGGAGAGACGTTGTGGTGGGAGGAGTAGGAAATGATGTCGATGGCCCAAGGATAAGAATCGATCGCAGCGGGCGGCGTTGATTGGCGGGTGAGGATCGAAAAGGGGCGCGGCAAGGGACAGAAGATGATCTGAGCACGACATTCAACGATGGAAGATGGAAATGATGCTGGTCAAGATGATGTTAAGTTAAAAAGGAAAAAGGACCTCGAATGGCCCTCTCCGACTGTCTGGTGGAAGCAAGAGGAGGTATACTGAATGAAGGGGAATGGAGTAAAGGAAAGTACCCAGTCAGTAAATAGTCGGTAATTAGTATCTACTCCCTATATACACAACTTGCTCTCACTACTAGGGAGGATGATGATCTCGATGATGAGGTGACTCGACCCACAAAAGAATGAACGCAGTGGGATTGAAACGAGTGAGTATAGTTGACGGTTTCAAAGATTCAACTGCTAGGCCGAAAAAAAGAGGATGGCCATGGCTCTTATTATTGTAGCGGAATGAGTTCGCCCAGAGGCCCATCCTTTATCCACCGGATCCCGACTCGAAACAATAAACGAGTCAATAGCCCAAGTAAGGCTCCAACCCAACGCGGGAACCGGACCAGAACTACCTCGATTTTCCAAAGTTAAAAATATTTCCCTAGTACGGAGTACTACCGAGTCGTATTGCATCCATCCATACTACTATTCATTCATCCGTCCACCCAAAAAATGGTTGTGCAGCAAATCAGGTACCGCCGACCCTTGGATCAGATGGAATGATTGGCAGGTCCCCTCACAGCACGGTCCAATGTTCTTTTTTCTCTTAGACGGCCAAGGACAGGGCGAGCGATGAATGGGCACCCTCATGGCCAAGGACAAAGGCAGTCCGAGTCTGAATTAGATTAAATATTGGCCTGGGATGGAATTAAAATGAAGCTTGATCGCCTTCCTTCCCCCGTGCCATGACGTCGCCCGGCAGCCTTTTTGGGGTTCTGGCCACGGGACTATCACGTGAACTCATTGCTTCTCTACCAATCAGAACCTGGAAACATCTTCACTGCGGCTCCCCTCTCCAATCCAGTCAAGTCTCTCGCTTCACTCACTCCATCAAGCATTGTTCTTCAACTGTCTATACTTCGCTACTGCTCCCTTCGGCCGCGACAAGGGGACCAAGTAGAAGAATTTATCTCTAAGCACTCTGTTTCATTCCAAGCCAAGACGGGTGGGACGTTCTGTGCATCCTTCGTTTGTACCTCCCAGTCAAAGTGTTCGCACCCATCCATGTCGGACCCTTCCAACGCAGCTTCCGTCTCCTGCATTTGACGCGGCCTCAGCTCGCCATCTGCAATACCAGTATTACTTTGCGCGTTACAAACAGCTGTGGCCCAGGCCATAACTATCGTCCTTCATTTCTACGTTTGTATCATCAACGGTGTCAAGGAATGAAAGTAGCAACGCTGCAGTTTGCCCCTCGTTTGGGCGATGTCGATGGCAACATCAAGAGAGCCAATGAGCTGCTCAAAGACGGGAAGGTAGTGCGGGGCGTTGGAATTGGGATTGGACTTGATCTCCTGAAGCCGGATGTTTTGATTTTGCCCGAGTTGGCCTTGACGGGTAAGTGTTACTCTGTCCTCCCCACGAACGTCACACGACGCATGAGCTTCGGGATGTTTGTGCTCGGTGGCTTGTTCAGTGCGTCTTAGCCTGGAGCTCTTACCTCTACCGACATCCATTGAGATTCCCTTCGCCCCCGGAATTTTCTACGCAGCACGGTCATTAATTCGGCCAGGATACAACTTCCCCTCGTTGGAGGCTATAAGACCCTTCCTTGAGCCCGTTGGACAAGGTCCTTCAGCGCAGTGGGCTCGAGAAACGGCCAAACGCTTACAATGCAAAGTCTGTGTGGGCTATCCGGAGATTTACACAGAAAATGGTGCCCAACAGGCTAATTCAACTAATTCCACGGAGATTTGCTACAACTCCCTGCTGGTGGTGGACGAAAGTGGTGACATCGTCCTAAACTACCGTAAATCGTTTCTATACTACACGGATGAGACGTGGGCGGCAGAGGGCAACCCGCAGCAAGGCTTCCACCAGCTCTCCTTCCGAAACTCAAATCAAAGCTCGGTGGAGTCCCAGATAGCTACCTCTTTCGGCATCTGTATGGACATTAACCCATATCGATTCGAGGCTCCCTTTACTGCCTGGGAGTTTGCCAATCGGGTTCTGGATACGAAGTCTGAGCTGGTCATACTTTCTATGGCTTGGTTGACCTTGTTGGAGCGGGACGAGCTCGACTCGCTTGCTGATGAGCCGGACTTGGACACGTTCAACTACTGGATCCAGCGGTTTATGCCGCTTATCAGGAAGAAGATGGGCCATGAAACCAACTTCGACGGCGATGATGCTAATCGCGGAAAGAAGATCATCATTGTGTTTGCCAATAGAGCCGGAGAAGAACCGGGTGCCGAAGGGACGAACCCAGCTCGGTATGCGGGCACGAGTGCTATCGTAGCAATCACACAGAAACCACCATTCCGTACATCAGGTAAGGAACTTTCTTCTAAAGAAGGAGACCCTGGTGACAATACGGATGCCGCTGAAACAGATGCACCATCATTTGATACGAAAATCCTGTGTTGGGATATGATGGGTGCGACGACGGAAGGTATTTGTTTTGCCGACACTACGGCAGACCCCAGCATGGTGTTTGGATTGGTCAAAGCTTCAAAATGACATTCCAACTGCATATGAGGCTAAAGCCACCTCGCATTGGTGGGTTGCAGCCTGGAGTGGTGCCCTGCCTATCAATTCTATTTCAGATGGCGTCACTTGAGTCGGCGTTCGTAAATCAAATAGACCGTATACTGGGGTTGCTTTGGACATGGACAAAAACCGAATAAGAGTCGCAATGCATGTCCAAGGATCTATTGTCTGGCACGATAGGAAGTCGTGTATACGCCCTTTCCCCTGCTGTGTAGGAAGCTTATCTGGGCACCAGTCTCTCGCTCACTTGTTCTGTTCCCTGCGCTTTGGGCTCCCCACCTTGTCCTTTAACCTAGTGGGCTTCTTATCGGAGAGCGAAGTGCATATCGTCAACCGACCGACCGACAGACGGGCAGGTTTCAAGGTCCCGAGTTGCCACAGTGAGCCATGATCTATCATGTGAGGTACTTTCTGGCCCCAGTCAGACTCGACCATCATTCATGTGACAGGAGATGGCAACTCGTCATTGTCACTTGGCTGTTTATTCGCATTGGAGCGAACAAGGCGAATCTAGACTCATTTCTGCTCCCCGGAGAATACCCGCCTACTGCACAGTAAATGTATACTATCCTCCAAAGTCGATTGCGGCAAGAACCCCGGATGATCAGAGGGCTCCAGACAATGATCGCTACAGCAAGCTAAAGTACCTAATAGTAGAGTATCCACTCCAACATCTAATCTCATGACCAACTGATCAGCGACTTCGCCCGTCAGATGGACTCCTACTTCCTCAGAGTCAACTGCTGAACCTTGGAAGGAGGCTTTTTTTTCTCTTCCTGTCGGGTACCCCCCCGTTTCTGCATGCAACCCTTGACGCGCATCTGTAGGCAAGGAAAGGTAGCATATTTCGGAGGATGCGCGGCCATCTTAGTGAGGAGAAGGCTAGTAGAGATCGCGACGAGGGATCTGATAGGTTGCATTGCGCACACATGTGACGATTGGAGTTAGCGGACAGTCTTGGAAAGATTGAGAATTGACCCGGGTTGGTTCGAAAGAAAACAGAGTTGCTGCGCAATGGGGCAGGGCATGGAGGCCCATCGTGGCTTGATCATGCCAAATGGAGGGTGGATTGCGGCCCTCCCTACCACCAGTACTTTGTAGACTGACGATTGGAAGTCACTGATAGTATCTATGACCCGTTCGCAGAAAACAGGGGGCACAAAGGCAGGTGGATGACTGGACAGTCAGATCATGACGACATACATAGAAAGTTCAGACTGCAAAAGAGATCGGCGGCTAAGTGGAGGGGGGATCAGAGACAAGCCACCACAGTAGTGACTCTTTTAAGACTTTGGTGCTGACTCGACTTGAAATAACTCATTAGTACTCCATAGATAGTCACTAGTTGTAACTACTGTCCAGTAACTGGTTGCTACTTGGAAGGGACGGGCCGACCGGGATGAGCAGGCACCCTCCACGGCGCAGCGATGTTTCCACTCCAATAATGGACTTCTGCAGGAATAACAGGATATTCCTCCCATTCGATCAGTGCTACTGTATGTTCTTGAGTAGACCGATCGCAGGACACTAGAGAAGTCAGAAAGGACACCAATCAGTCCCCTTTTCCCCTTTCGAGCCAAGAGGGCTGACGGGTTCCACGTGATTCCGGGTGAACCCCTCCTCCGACCACCGGGACAGAGGAGGCCTGCCGACCAATCAGAATTGGTGATCGAGGAGTTGGGTGAGGAGGGGGCACGGGATGGCAGCACCTGACAATTTTCTGATGGAGGAGGAGGGAATGGGGAAGAGGAAAACCGGTTGGAACGGAGGTGAAGGGGTGGGGGGGTGAGGGAAGGGAAAATAGGAAGATGATAATGTGCCAGGATAAAAAAAAACTCAATGAGCATGATGTTTACAGAAAATGGTTGGTATTGGTGGTGGTATGATTCCGGGCTGGCCTCACTTGAACAAGAGAGACTGCTTACTTACTACTAGTAAGTTTAGTAGGTTTCTACTTTACGGAGTAAGTGATCAGAATAACCCTCCTCTCCTTCTCTTTTATTGTCTGTTTTGGATAAGGTACTACAGTAGCCCTGTTTTTGGAGGTAGAAGTTGAGTTACATACTATTTACATTGCAGAAAGTACCACGGGAGTAAATAACACTAACCAACTGGTTGGTTAGTTAGTTACTATCAATACTCCGTGACTTTTGACTTTTGGGAAGGGTGGGGTCAGGTGATCGGCCTGGCGTTACATACTACTCACATTATCCTTTACTTTACACCTCGGGTCCATTTGGGTCACCGTAGCGGGCGGTTCTCCTCTCTTTGATTCTCGTCCTTCGTCCCTCGCCACGTGAGCAGTCCCTCTCTACTCGACTCTCTCTCTACTCCTCCATGTATCCCTTTTTTCCATTGTAAAATCCGCCACAACTTTTTGCTTGTTTTCAAAGCCGATCCGTCCGCTGTCTTTGATGTGGATGCTTCGATCCCGACCATTTCTTTCGTGAACAAATTTCGTTCTCCAGCTTCTGCGATCGAACCGGTGTCTTCCCTCTTGTTGTTGCCCGTGGCAGGTGACTTGCTGTCAGGTGATAGATAGACCATCCCAAGGTAATCAATCCAGCTCTCCCTCTCCTCCCCTTCGCTCGCGCTGTGCCCCTCTACTCTCTTTCGCCTCCTGTCTGCTCCGCGGTTCTTCCACGGCCATCAGCATCGCCATAGCATTATGGCTTCTGCTTTGGCGAGCCCCCTTGTCCTCACCTTCTCCGACATGGCCCGGTCGGGCCATGGCCGAGGATGATGATGCTGTTTTTTCCCGCTTCCATCGGTCGCAAAGACGTCTTCGCGACGCGTCGCCGATCTCGCTCCCATCTCAGGGACATGCTCTTCATCTCCTCATGTGCCCGTGCTACTGCTCTCACTTCAGTGTCATCTTTCGTTTGTAGTTGTATCTCTGCTGGTGGTCGCGCCGTTCATCTTGTGTTCGGTGCTTGTTGGTGCTTGGATGCGGAGGTGGGCGCGTCAGCAAACGCGTTACTAGCTCACAACCCGTTCAGATCTGGCTCACCTGTGCATCCCAGCAACTGTAGCCCTTCACTGGCACTATCCAATGGCTCCACCGCAATTCAATGAATGCTACCATTTTCCCCCCTTGCAATAGTGTTGCTTTGTTCATCCACCGGATCATTTCCTACACCATCTTGAACTGTACTGATCGTGCAAAAGCAACTTGGTTACTAACAGAACTTCTAGAGTTAACGGGAATCGCCTAATCTCTCCGGTTAGGCGCCTAGAGCTGGAGCGAAACTCCGGTAACTTCACTGAATCCCTATCGTTAGCAGGTAAGTGCGCTTCGAAGGTGGTGGCTGGCTCCCTAAATGACGCGCCGTGATCCTAACTGTTACGCACAGGGCAGTCATATCATACATACCTAACGATGTCTGATCCGTCGTTGGGTGCTACCGATGGTAGTGTTACGGCCAAGCGAAAGCGCGATAGTACCGATAGCACCGGTCCAGATGCCCAGCGTTTGAATCGATCTTCCAATGGGAGCAACGGCAGCATTCCCGCCCCCGACACTCAGCCGAACTTCGCCCATAGCTCTCTTGGATCTTATGACACGCATCTTCCAAGTGCTACGACAGAACTCAACATCGACCAGCAAATCCTGCAGCATGTTGGTCCTCAAAACGGTATCTCAGATGATAACGCCCTCACTGCTAAGGCGGCACTCGCCGCCCACACCCCTCAGAACAAATACCCGCCTCCCCCTGATGCGACCTTTGACAGCAATCTCGCCCATGGCTTGACGTTTGGAGACGATATGGGCCAGGCTATCGGCTCCGCACATGGTCACAATTCTACTGCTGCCGCCGTCTACGCTGCTCGCGAAGCGCAGAGCATGAACCAGAAGCCTTCTGTAGGTTCTCCCGAATGGCATCAGATTCGGAAAAACAATCACAAAGAAGGTACAGCAATCTTTTCCCCCTCTCCACTTTTCATAGTGCATCCATTGATAAAGACTTAGTGGAGCGGCGGCGCCGTGAGGCGATCAATGAGGGCATCAATCAGATCGCTCGTCTTGTCCCCAACTGTGACAAGAACAAGGGTGCCATTCTGCAACGCGCAATCGAATATATATGCCAACTACACGAAGAAAAGAAAGCCATGAGTGAACGTTGGGATCAAAACAATATGACCACGAGCCATGCAATCAACGAAATCAGCTCGCAGAACTCCAAACTGAAGATCGAAGTCAACCGTCGCGGTGACATTGCGCTGAAGTGGTTGCAGCGCTGCCGCGACGCAGGTCTTGATTTCGAAGACTACGAAGACTCGAAGGAGCTGGAGCCCCTTGACATTGACCAAGGCCAGGTTTAATCTCGACTAACGTGCATTACTGCGCGTGCAGAGAATGTAGTGTGAGGATCACTGCATTATCTCGTTCCTTTATATTCACATGTGCTACGACTTGTTTACCTTGGGAGGCATGAGACAGCATCGATCTTGTCGCTTGCTTTCCTCTTCCTTTTTTCCCCTTTTAACACTTTATCCTAACAGCTTCTCCCCTTTCATTGAACAGACCTTGCCTGATCTCTCCCTGTTTCCACTTTTATTTTCCATGTCAGTTATTTGCAAGGTACAGTCTTACGATGTCCGGTTTTTGTTGTGAGGGAGAACGATGTGGTTCTCCAATCTTTATTTTAATTGCCTAGCCTGGGGTGGGTATCCTGTTTCTATTTCCCCCGTATCTGCTTTTACCCCTGCTGTGATTCTTTCTGTATGCTATTCTTAAGGATGGGACGGCGAAACTATGGCTGGGAGTGGATGATCCGATGGCCATGTAGCCTAGGACACCACGGCGTGTTATCGGAATGCAAGCTCATTTCAAGTCTGATCTCGGTATGATTCTAGTAATGATTTTGCGAATAGAGCAGATATCGGACGAGTAATCAACCGTAAGAGTGATTTGTCCAGCCTGCAATGGAACCATTAGAGTAAGACGGGACAATCAAATCCGATCCCATGCCCCTCAACCATTCACACCTCGATTTTATTTTCTCTTCCAACTTCATCCCCTCCCCCACAGCATTACCATCAACCACATAAGCAGTAATTACAATTGTCCAGCTCTATTCGATTTACCTAGTAATACATGGGTGATACCACCACCATTAGCTAGCTACTAGTATTTAGTCCTTATAATGTCCGAGCCTCCATTCTGATTCCCATACACAAGTAGTAGTAGTAGTATTACTAGGAAGAATA